CTGTTTACGCATTTCACCCCCTAGAGCAGCCTAATCATAGAATAGGAGGATGTGGAGGGATAGGAACTACACAAGTTTCAAACTCCTACTTATATCGTAAAGGAAGAGAACCCCTTCTGTCTTCACTGTTCTACTTTTGAGGGAGGACATTACTACATTAACTCTCCACTAAAACCAAATAATTATGACGACAAATTGCCCTAAAGTAACTTACATAATCTACAAGATCTATACAAAAGTAATATATTAACTATACTTTAAATCTGCCATATCATATCTGGATGAGAGGAGAAGGAATGGTGAGAAATAAAAGAGAAAAGGAAAGGAGGAAAGGGAGGCGGGGGACGGGACTTTTCCTTTAAGATCAAAGATCTAAGTAGGAGTTGGAAATGTGTATAAAATCTCCTATCCTTCAGCATAATCTTGTTCTATGGCTAAGCTCCACTAGGGGGCAAAATGCATTAGCGGGAGGGACCAAGTGGAGTGTTCTCTGTTGTGCTGGAACAATAAAGTTATTTTAACACTTTCAAAACAATGGTGTACAGCCTCATTATACAGTGATTCATAAAGTATTAACATATAGAGAGTTCTAGTGAAGATGACAAATAATATTCCAAATGACAGTGAAGTCAGCGGTCAATAGAGGTCCACACCCACAACATTTTGGTGTACACAGTTGAAAGCTGAACTCTGGGATAAACAAATATCATATAAATACAAAAAGCATGTGTAGTCTTAATTTCATCTTGGTGTGCTTTGTGTATTTATTCCAGATCTGTGCAGTAATCCAATGCAAAATGTTGCCTTTGCATGGGAGCTTCCTATAATAAAGACAGGTCACTGCTACTCTCTCTATTTGTGCAGAGTGACTTGTATCTGCCCCCTCCTCCAGTTTTCTATAGGCAGCGTTGTAGTGGGAGGCTTGCTGGGTCCCTTTAACTGCTCTGCCGTCTGCACAGTGATATTGTCAGTGCTACTTTTACAAGGTAATAGCTGGATTTGAAAAGGAACTTGTTGCAGCTGAGAAATAAACTGTATTTAAATTATTTTTTTTGTGTCTGGAGTTCAGGTTTATGTAGTGCTGCAACACTAATTTTAATTTACATACTATCCATTCTCCCACTCCCCGCTCCAAAGGAACTTACAATCTAAGGTCCTTATCTCATATGCATGCATACTAGAGCCAATTTACCTACCGGCATGTCTTGGGAGTGTGAGAGGAAAACCAAAGTACCTAGAGCAAACTCTTGCAAGCACAGGGAGAACATGCGAACCCCATGCAGATAGTGTCCATAGTGGAATTCAAACCGAAAACCTCAGCACAGCAAGGCATTCTAACCACTAAGCCACTGTGCTGCCCATCTATGTATCATTTACAGCTATTGTACTTTTCCTGCCCTCCTACAGTATTGGATTCAAATCTGGGCCTTTTACCCAGTAAACGATTAGCAGACTAAATATGTGTGTGGTTGTGCTCATTGTCCTTTTCTAAATTATTAGAAGTGTTGGGTTATGGGATGAGTGTTGTTTAAAAAAATAGCACCCTGTTTTGCTTCCATTTATCTCATGTGCTTTCACACTTTTTATTGTCACTGTGCCTGAGGGATACTCACTTCTCCTGTTATCCATGCCGCCAACTGGTGTAGTAAGGAGAAAGTGTCAACTGAAGTACCTTCAAAAACCAACCAACACCCAATCCTATGATCTGCTGGCCCCTACATCACTGCTGTATCCTGTAGTGGTAGTGATGTAGGGATTAGTGGAAGGAACCATAGAGCATGAATATGAGCAAGACATTGACACTCATGGAAGTGTTATTTTCACAAGATTCTCCAGCCAATGCTTTCTCCGTAGTACAGCAGCAATCAGCACAGGCAGCAAGAGTGGCGATTATCTTTTTAGCATATCCTTTATTGTAGGTTTCAGTTTTAGCAACAGAATTGCTTTAAGATACCAGGCTTTAAGAAAGGCAATCATGTGCATTAGCAAAACTGGTCACTTGGGCAATGGTTTCCTTGGTGTATCAGCAAAACAACTAGGTAAGCATCGTGCTTCGCCAGAGAAAAGTAGCCAACTCATATGGAAAGAATGCAGCCAAATGTGAAGTAGAAACAAGATTATGCAGATGTAATCCCAAATGATCAGCCACACTGCTGTTCAACCATAAAGGTAAGGGCAGCTGTCCCAGAGTACTTATGAAGACACCTGGAATAGATCTTGACATTGACCCTAACCCACAGTTCATGCAGGGATGCGACAGACACACATGTAATGAAGGTACCATACCTGGGATGGTGGAGGGTGTGGTAGTTGTGGTGGTAGCGGTGGTTATTGTGGGAAGTGGGGGGGGGGGGTAGTGGGGGGATCTGGATGAAAAAACAAGGAAAACAAAAACCAAAATTAAAAAAATAAAACAAAACACATCACAAAAAGCACAATCTTAATGGGAAATCAGTAGGACATCAATGCTTCGATGGAAATCAGCACAATATTAATAATGTGAAACCAACAACCATTTAGCAAGATATAATCAGGAAAGTATCCAGCAATGAATATGAAATTGTTGGGTAATTAATAGGATAATTAACACAACAGTAAAATAAAAGGCAAATGTGGCTCAAATAAGAGATCAGCAGGATATTAATAAGCATACAATAATGTTGAGCTACAAAGGGCAATACATACTTACAGTGCATCAGGCTGAAATCAACAAATGGATGACTCCAAATATGAAATAAGGGGTGCAATAGATAACAAAAAGGATTATGATAATAATACACAAATGGACATACCAAGGTTTAAGTTGCCAGTCACAAAACTAGCCTGTTCTACATGACACTGCAGCATTGTGAGCCATTTAAATAGATTGTTATGGGCAATGGAAGGCTGTACACAAAGGCACCCTACCCCAAAGAGTGCTGCTTACGTTTCTCCCAGGGTAAGATATTGAAGCTTGTTAAGCTCAGGCTTACATAGACTTTTAAAGCAGAACTACTGAAAGAATCAGATTAACTGTTTGATTGAACTGGCTATCTTATCCCCCTTTTTGATAAGTGATACCTATCCATGTTCCTTGCTGAAAAAAAAAAAACATTTTTAGACTGGGGCTGCTGACCACTGTTGTTGGTTAGCTGGCTGGCAAGTTGAACTGGGTAGCTTTAGTAGTTTGATTTTTAAGCTCAGGCTTACATAGACTTTTAAAGCAGAACTACTGAAAGAAACAGATTAATTATTCTGTCTTTACATCATACTGATTTCGTTCCTCCAGTTGAAGTACTATAACTATTCTGCTATGTAGCCTGCTGAGGATTGGTCTACTCTAGCTGTGGCTTCTCAGCTGGCACTGGCTAACTGACCGTTTCCAGTGACCAGAAAGTCAATGATGAAGTTTTCTTTCATTTAACATTTCTGGCTCCCTTCCACCCACAAGTGAAACATGAGAAATTGATGTCGGACTGGCACTGAGTGACCAAACTGAAAGGCGAGAAATAGTTTTGGCTTGCACATCTGCCCACACACGAGTCAGAAGGTCTGCCATGCCCACACAATGACCCTGTTCTGGCAGGAAAAGCGATAAATAGCGTGCAGTGACAGTGAGTCAAAAAACACAAATTTGTCATAGCGCCTCATCTCCAGATTGTGAGATTTTCTGCTGAGTTTAGGAACTTCTTGGGTCAGAAGATACAGAGGGAAAACAAAGTAAGAACATCAAGGCAATCACCAACAATCTGTGAGTAAAATGCAGTGGCAGTATACTACAGGAAAACAGCTTATAGTATAATCAAAACACAGGAATTCAATTGGTTCTACACTGACTTCAGTAAAATGAGATCTGTTTGGTTTCTGTGTGCTGCTCTCCACCGCAAACCATCTCCATTCTCTGCACGTTCAAAATGCCTAAGCCTGCATGACCCGAGGAATGCTTAAATAGGGCAGATGGAAGGTCTGGAAATCACAAGTGCTGCCCCACTTGCCTACTGGGCACTTTTACCCCCTTCGTGCCCTGGACAATTTTCAGCATTCAGTGCTGTCATACTTTGAATGACAATTGCGCGGTCATGCAACATTGTACCCACATGAAATTGTTATCATTTTTTACACACAAATAGAGTTTTCTTCTGGTGGTATTTAATCCCCACTGGGTGTTTTATTTTTTGCACTATAAACAAAAAATTTGAAAAATGGGCACTGGTAGGCAGCACTGATGGGGTGGCACAGATAAGCAGCACTGATAGACACTGATATGCTGCACTGAAAGGCATTGATGAGGAGGCACTGATGATGCTGCACTGATATGCAGCAAAGATGGGCACTGATAGGTGGCACTGATGGGTGGTGCTGACTGGTGGAACTTGCTTTGCACTGACAAGCGCAACTGCTGGGCAGAATGGATGTCTGGCAGTGCTAGACTCTGATCATCAGGGCTTAGCTGTGCTGATTTGATACCATAACCAAACAAGAAGTGAGAGGCAATCCCTCCAAGGGAATCTCAGAGTGTCACCAGAACTAGTGTCCCCATTGGCAGATTTCCCCCCTCTAGTACTGTCCTGGTTGCAACCCAAAATTTGGGATTTTCTTTTACTTTCACTCTCAATGATAATGGTACACAGGACAAATAGAGAGGCTGAATCTCCCGTTACACAGACAACAATAAAAACCTGACAAGTGTTCTAATCCCTCTCTACTTTATCCAAAACTAAAAAACAATGTTGTCTTTAGTTACACTTTAAAGTAGAACTATAGGAAAAAGTTTTTTTTCCCCCCATTTTGGATAGAGTAAGAGAGGGTTATAACCCCTGTCCTCTTTTTTTGCCATCTGTGTCCCATTGGGGAGATTTCCTTTCACTTCCTGTCCCACAGCACAAACAGGAAGTGAAAACATCTCTGCAGATTAACCGATTCCCGACCACCCTATAGCAGAACTACTGCTATAGGGTGGCAGGGCTGCACAAAATCACGTATATATATGTGATTTTGCATTTTCGGGTAGGGGGCAAGTGCCATTGGTGTCTACAGCTGTTGATCACCGAGTCCCGGCTGGAGATTCCCCGCCAGCACCTGGCGATCGCTGAGGAACACTGACAGGGGAGAGGTCTGTATGTAAACAGTACAGGTCTCTCCCCTGTAAGCACCAGCATGCTGCTTGTATTGCTCTGCATAGCAGAGCAATACAAAGCAGCATGCTTACATAGTAAAACAGCACACAGTTAACCCTCTGATAGCCCCAGATATTAACCCCTTCCTGCCCAGTGTCATTAGTACAGTGTCAGTGCTTTTTTATTAGCACTGCTCACTGTATTAGTGTCACCAGCAGTATCAGTGGCAGTTAGTTCCCCCACAGTGTCAGAATGCCTGCTACCAACCACAGGACATAGCTTTCCCTCAGGGCTACCCCCCTGTTCCTTCGAACCCCCCTTTTTTCTCTGACTACTCTCCTTCTGCCCTTCGCCCTTACCCGTCCATGTCACCACATGCTACCACTCCTTGTTTCCCCTTCCCCCTCCTCCTTTTCTGTCCCATAGCCCCTTGTCCCTGTTCCATGCCCCCTCCCCTCCCCCTGCCCTTTTACCCCCCCCAAATCCCCTTTTTTTAAATTTCAGGATTTTTATTTTTTAGCAAATACATGTCACAGAATACATTTTGGCCCAAATTTATGATGAAATTTGATTTTTCTTAAATTTTTTTACTGGACATGTTTTATAAAAAAAAATATTGCTTTTTTTTCCAAAATTGCCAGTCTTTTTTTGTTTATAGTGCAAAGAATAAAAAAAGGCAGAGACGATCAAATACCACTGAAAGAAAGCTCCATTTGTGGACAAAAAAGGACATAAATTTCATTTGGGTGCAGCGTTGCATGACCACGCAATTGTCAGTTAAAGCAACGCAGCGCTATATCGCAAAAAAATGGCCTGGTCAGGAAGGGGGGTGGTAAATCCTCTGGAGGGCAAGTGGTTAAGGGAATTCCTTGGGAACTCCCAGGTCACCAGAACTATTGACCCCTTTGGAAACTGTCCCCTCTATTACTTTTCTGGGGACAGCCCAAACTATGGGGTTTCTTTTACTTTCCCTTTCAATGACAATTGTAAACAGGACAAATAGAGAGGGTGAGTCTCCCTAATGAGGGCACAGAAAGCAATAAGGTGTTCTAATCCCTCCCCACTCTATCCAAAACTAAAAAACAAATGTTGTCTTTAGTTACACTTTAAAGTATAACTAAAGGCAAAGCAACTGTCAGGTTTTTTATTGCTGTCTGTGCCCCCCATAAGGAAGATTCATCTTCTCCATTTGTTCTGTTTACCTTTAAAAAGTAAGTGAAGCAAAAGTAAAAGAAAAACCCAAACTTTAGGTTGTCCCCAAAAAAGTAATAGAGGGGAAATTTTCCTGGGGGACATTAGTTCTGGTCACCTGGGGGACCCCCAAAAATTCCCTTAATTTGCTGGGACTTCCTCTCACTTCATGTTTAGCTATGGGACAGAAAGTGAAGGGAAATCTCCACAATGGAACACAGATGGCGAAAAAAAAATCAGGTCATAACCCTCCTTTATCCAAAATGAGAAAAAAAGTTTTGCCTACAGTTCAACATTAACCACTTGCCTACCAGGCACTTATACCCCCTTCCTTACCAGGCCAATTTTCAGCTTTCAGCGCTGCCGCACTTTGATTGACAATTGCGCGGTCATGCAACATTGTACCCATATGAAATTTTGATCATTTTTTTCTCACAAATAGAGCTTTCTTTTGGTGGTATTTAATCGCCACTGGGCGCTTTACTTTTTGCGCTATAAATTAAAAAAAGTGCAAAAAATTTGAAAAAAAAAAAAAAAGTTTATTTGTTTCTTTTATAAAATTTTTCAAACAGGTATTTTTTCTCCTTCACTGATTTGCGTTGATGAGGCGGCACTGATGGGCACTGCTAGGCGGCACTGATGGGCACTGATAGGCAGCACTAAAGGGCACTGATAGGCAGTACTAATGAGGTGGCACGGATAGGCGGCACTGATATGCAGCACTGATAGGCGGCACTGATAGGTGACACTGATGATGGGTACTGATAGACGGCACTGACTGGCATCACTTCTGGGCACTGACTGGCACAACCCCTGGGCACTGACTGGCAGCACTGCTGGGCTGCACTGGTGGGTGGCACTGGTGGGTGGGCACAGGTGGGTGGCACTGCTGGGCACATGTAGGTGGCACTTCTGGGCACAGGTAGGTGGCACTTCTGGGCACAGGTGGGGGCACTGCTGGGCACAGGTGGGGGCACTGCTGGGCACAGGTGGGGGCACTGCTGGGACGGGGGTGGGCGGGGCTAGTGGGCGCACTGCTGGGCGGAACTTGCGGGTGTCACTGCTGGGCACCGATCATCAGGGCACTGATCATCAGTGCCCTGATGATCGGTGCCGATCCCCGCTCTGACAACTGCCGGTTCTCGGCAGTACTTTCCTCACGATCTGACAGCGTGAGGAAAGTGCAGCCGAGAACCGGCACTTGCATTTCCCTGTGATCAGCGTGTCATTGGACACCGCGGATCACGTGGTAAAAGGCCGGTGGGAGATCGCCGGGTGCGCGCCCCAGAGCGCGTTCTGGGAGGACGTCATATGACGTCCACTCAGAACTGGCCGGCCGCGGTGAAGCCGTCATTCGGCTATGCGCGGTCGGCAAGAAGTTAAGCTTTAAAAACCAAAAGGTCTAACCTGCAGACCTTACAGAACCAGCTGCCTGGGTCTTACTGAAAGATTCTCCAAAATGTAGAGAAAATAATTATAGTCTTGTAGATACAGGCAGGGACAAGACTGTGGGGAAAGCTTATCAATGGTGGGTCAACTCTGGATAGTAATTTAATTTATTGCCCACCTGAACCTGTAATATTGTTCCTATTTGCCTTTAAAGTGCACCACCTATAAAGGTAGCTGAAAGGCTGACATTGCAGGTTTTTTAAAGTGTATATAACCATGATGTTTTTTCTTTACTTTGGATAGTGTGTCAGAATTCGAACCTATGACATGTTACTGCTAGCTGTTTAAAAGAGAACTTCACTCTCTCAATCAACGTTGACCAGTTTTAATCCTTATGTTCCTAGCATTAGTAAATATATAGCAAAGTACATATTTACTTATTTTAAACTTTTTTTTACATTTCTTCAGTTCCTTCCTGGTTTCCAGGCCTAAGCAAATGATGACATACATCCCAGGAGTCTTCAGGAGGGGGTTTTCTCAGCTAAGCATACCCTTCTATCTGCATGTCTGAGCTAAAGGCAGATGGATTTCAGGAAGTAAATGCTACAAGAATCATCTGCTCTTACTCAAAATAGCTACGGCCAGAATTGATAGGGGTTGTTTTTGAAAGTTTTTGAAAGTTTTTTTCAGCAAATTAAAACATGGAGACATGGATGGATGGATGAACTTGCTTTGAATATTAAAAATCAATTAATTAGTGTATTTGGTTTGTGGTGCTCAGATGCAGTGTAGTCCTGTTTTAAAGTGTTACTAAACCCAGGACCCTGCATTCACTCTATCCAGTCTTCCACTGTACACAGAACATGGAAATGCAATTATTTTAGTAAATATAAACTGCTAAATACCTTTTCTCATCAGCAGTATATAGCAGTCTTGTGACTTCAATCAGTATCCGGTTAAAGTATAGGTTAAAGTAAGAGGAGTTTTCATTCTCCTTTGACTGTCCTATAAGACTGCATAACCCCTGACCCTCTGTCTGGACAGTGCTGATTGGCCCTGTGGCGATCACATGTAGCCTTCCAAAGAAGAAAAAAAACAAAACAAAAAAACTATCTAGCAACACACACCACACTGAGCATGTGCAGATGGATTGGGGACAGTAGAAGAAAGGGAAGATGAGAAGACAGGATCAAACACCCTTTTTACACAATGCAGAGGATTAACCCTTTAGGTTCCACAGTGAGTATAACAAGCATGCTTTACTACATATACAGACTGATTTTACTATTGTGGGTTTAATAACACTTTAAGCAGGATATGGGAAGAGTAGGACCTTTTGTCAGCTTTTTATAGCTCTGTGTATCTATTGCAGAATTTCTTACACTTATCCATATGCAGTATATAAATTGCCTAATTAAAACAAACTCTTGTAAATCCCTATATAATGGAGCTCGGACTGGGAGGAGTAGATCAACATAGGGAGCCAATCAGCCACAAGCAGACAGTGAACATGCTGCCATGAACAGATAATGGAGAGGTGACCTCATCTGCATTCTGCTGCTTTATTGCACCACCAGTTAACTAGATATGTGTCCTGAGGCAGTGCTTCTCATTGTGCTGCTGTAGTAGCAGAGGTTAAGGATCCCTGATGGGGATGACTGAATCACAAGATATGCCGAACAGAATCAAATACTTTGTCAGGTAGAGTAGTTCAACTATCCATTCAAATAATGATTTATCCTATGTACTGGACTGTTTAAACTGGAGATCAGCTTTAAGGTATGGAGGCTGCCATTGCTCTTCTGGAAAGTCCAGCTACCAGGCTGCATCACAGTGCTGCTTTGGTTTCAATACTATGGGTCACTATCCTGAAACAAGCAATAAAGCATTCATTTCCTTGACACACGTATGCCCCAGTTATGTGATCTAGAAGTACCAAAGCCAGACAATGACGAGCATTTTAAAATGATGGAACCCTCAAAATCTCTCTTATGACCACAGAGCCACATTTATGTATAAAAGCAACACATGCCCCTCACTGTCTGCATTGTCTTTTGTGAGGGAATACATTTAGAGGGTAGTAGAAGGTGTCACACTAGTAAACTGAAATACCTTTTTCTGCTGTGATCTTGAAGACTATTATACCATCTACATCTATTCTGGTACTCAGTCTTTTCAGTCTTTTAAGAGAGCCCCTTATCTTTCACACCCTGAAAAATAGGCTGAAATGCTCCTGAAACATGTTGGCTTCTAATAAAGCACTTTCAGGATTATAATGGAGTGTATAGAGCTGCTCACTTGACTATTTTGTTACTTCTCATCTAATCTTGATCCATAAAGCACAGGCCTATTCCCTTAGGAGCAGTCGGCGAGTTTTTACCCCCTGCACTCTATAACAGAAGATTAGTACGGTTATCCTTAAAATGCAGGTCCCCCCAGTATTATAAGTTCTTTACTTACCTGTCCACAATATACTGAGATTTTTATGGTGTGCCATACTGGTTCTTGACAAAAGTAAGGCTGATCTGCTCATGCACAGTATATTTCCTACTGATTTCTATGGGAAGCCATTCAATGCTGTTTTCCATTTTTTTTTGAGAACTTAACAGATATATGGAGACGTTAGAGAACTTGCTGGATGAGGGGAACCTGCA